AAACAGATCTTATCTCCGGTGGCTTTCTTACCAGGGTTCCTTTGTAGATTTAGAGACTGTGAGGCATCTTCTGGGCCCTTCTTCCAAGACCTGAGAAAAGTATCTAGGGCCCTGGAATATCTCAGGTGGCACCTCCCCTATAGGTTTTCTCAGGTCTGGCTAGCTTCCCGGAAAGGCCACCCATCCTAGGCGTCTAGCCCCTGGTGTCACAGAGCACCAGGGATCTCACTGGGGCCTCCAAATGCTATGATGAGCCAGCAAGACAATCAGAGGTACACAGCCAAATTGTAAATGAGAGGATTGCTTTATTCACTGGCAGGCTGCAGGGGCATGGTCTCCCAAATCATTAGCCCCGAATATTCTTGCAGTCCACTTGTAAAGACTAAAACCACATCCTCTTGGCATGGCCTTGGTGAGATTAAGGGGGAACTGATACAGATAGGGGACATGAGGAGCTGTTACAAAGGTCAGGGCAATCACTAATCACAATATTTTTATGGTTTTTCTGGGTTTCCCAAGGCCATCATTAATCCCTTTATCTTTATGTTTCCTCTAGGTTTTAGTCCCTGGTGTTTAGATGTGTCAGGATGTCTACATGCAGCAACTGCTGGTCAGAATGGAGTGAAATTAAGTATTCTAGTTCAGGATGAGTGTGGGAGGACCCACCTTAAACACCACTGTCAAGTCTTACTTTCCTGGGTAGATTAGCAAGCACAGGAAAGGTTCAGCTATCCTCTAGCTTTTTGCCTGGAGGCTATTAGTTTCAGTTACTTGATAAGCCTTGGGTTGTGACCCTCAGCTGAATGAAAAACTCCCTCAGGTGTTCAGGGTAAGAGGATTTCCAGAGGGTGGAGCTGATGCTGGTTGTTAATTAGCCTTAATTTGCATTTCTCTGGCCCAGCTGGGTGGAGTTAAATATCTAAGGGAGGGGCTGATGCTTCTCCCCAGAGCTCTGGGAAGGAGCTCCCTGAGCAAGATGGCCACCATTCTGTGTGGCCATGACTCAGCAAAACCTCTGAGCACCCTTCAAATACCAGGTGTCCCCACACAGTTCCAATCCAGTCAGCCCTCCCTCTGCCACAGCCCAAGGTGAGTGGCTGTAGCTACTTTGGTGCTCTGTCCCAGCTCTCTGGGCTGTGGAACCAGCTTGGGATTTTAACCCTGAGGGAGTTGCTCACAGCTAAAACAGCCGCTATCAGTGGACTCCCAGCCCAACCTCTCTAGCTTCCGAAAACCAACCAGGCTTAATTCAGTGTCCTTTTTTCTAGTCGCTGCTTATATGGGTCCTCTTCAGCTGCTTTTTTGTTGCTTTTTCTCTATGATTTGTCTTTATTTTAGTTGTGATTTCAGTTTGGTCCTGGGAAATCATCTGTGTGGCTTCCATTCATTCACTCCACCACCATTTTAGAATCCAGACTTAGAAATTTAAATTAAGGTAAACAAATTTTAAAATAGAGCAGTTATGAACTCCAATAAAAATAAAAGGTTATACGTAAAATGAATTATTACCATAATATATCACATGGATCAGCTATAAATTATATTTATATCAGTTTAATATTAAAAATACTAAATATAAGATTGTGACATAACTATATTGAGGGTTTGAAGAAAGATAAGGAAGTATATGAAATAACAGTTCTCAACTATAAAAGGAAATCAATGAATAATATCCAAAATTGATAAATCAAGATACCAGTATCAATACGGTCCTTAGAAATGTAGAGGTAAATACCAGCATAAAGACTTAAAAGATATAAAAATGTTGCTTCTGATGAAGGGTGAGAAGAAGGCCTAGGGCCTGCTTTGTCAGTAATACATACCTTTTTAGCACTTCTTGACTTTTAAAATTATGTGCATTTATCACTTTTATAGTTGTTTGTTTTACTTTTTAAAAAAGCAACGTTATAAACTAAAAGAGGTTGCAAACCATTGCTACAGACAATATAGCCTTTGTATAGATATTTCTATTACCTTGTAAGTTATTGTCAAGGCAAAAACACAGCCATCTTCTTCATACAATTTTTTAATCATCTACTACCTGTCCCTCTCATTAGAATTTAAGCCCCATAAAAGTAGGAACAAATGACATGCTAGTAAATGTTTAACATCTCCGTGAGAAGGAAAAAGTTCTTACTTGTAGCATTTACCAATTTCTGTGATGTAAATATTCTAAATGCCTCATTTCAAGCTACCATCATGATGCTGCTGACACTGAGTTGAGAAAAGATGCATACAATTGGCTTTTTGTTTTGTTTTGTTTTCCACAATTTACATTCAATAGTATTTTGTATCAGTTTTAGGTGTATAACATAGTTGTTAGACAATCATATACTTTACAAAGTGTTCCCCCCAATATTTCTAGTACCTACAAAGGATTTTTATCAGTTGTGTGTTGGCGTGTGTGTGTGTGTATGTGTGTGTGTGTGTGTGTGTGTGTTCAGCACTGTTAATATCTATCCTAGTCACCTTTTTCATTAGAACAAGAATCAGTAAAATATTTGCTATCTATACTCAGGAGAGAAAAAGATAAGTATACCTAACGTGTCATCCGAATCACTTATTCAGAGAGAGAAGCAGTCCATGGGCTAAAGAAATAAAGAGTGAGGGACCTAGAGAATTATTATGCTAAGTGAAGAAGCCAGTCAGAGAGAAAAACACGTATCACATGATTTCACTTATTTGTGGAATATAATGAGCAAAATAAGTAGATAAACAAAATAGACCCAGAGACTGAAACAGGAAACAGACTAACAAACCTCAGAGGGAAGGGGGATGGGAAGAGATAAACCAAAAAAGTATATGCATATATACATAACCAATGGGCACAGACAACAGTGAAGTGAAGGCAGAGGGGGGTGAGCAGGGAGGAAGAGGTCAATGGGGAAAGAAAAGGAGGGACATTTGTTATAATTTCAACAATAAAGATAAATTTTAAAAATAATAATAAAAAGAAAAAAATAAAGAATGAATAAAAAGGGGAATATGGAGAATGTGAGTATTATTGACACAATCAGCTGCCTAGCTAAGAGCCTTCTTCATTGCTAACAAAATTCCAATTTTGTTCAGTTTTCCAGTAGCTATAGGGTCAGTCACAGTGGTCTCATTCCTCTTTCTAAATTATCAGTTTAAGTATGGGTATGGTACACAATTGTGACCAGGAACATTTGGGGAGAAGTTTGTTTGAAGAGCTTCTGTGAGAGGGACATTCCTCACTTTTGTCTGTAGACAGGTCCAGCTGTACGTGATGTCTGGAACTGTGGCAGCCACATTGGGAATGTGAGAGTAACCAAATCATGAGGTCAAGCTAGCATACTACGACTTACAAAATGGAAAGATGAAAAGAAATTGGTTCATTGATAACATCATTGATAAATAACTGACACTGGAGCTCCCCTAGCATCAAATTTTGGGAAAAAAAGTTACCTGAATCATTTTGTGTTGAGCTGTCTGTTATTTTAAACTAGAAGCATTACAATTAATACAGTATGCTAGCAAATGCTAGAACATTTTAAACTTATTTATGTGTCGTTCTAAGTACTTCTGCAAATTATAACCCTCAACATCTGGCCTCCAACCTATAAAAACCCCCTCTGTATTTTTTCTAATCTAACTGGCATCTTTGGCCTCCCCCTCTTCTTATATTCATCTTTTTTGCACTTTTTCTCTTAGTTTTTGTCTTTACTCTCCGTTCTTTTCTGTTTTTCCTGCCCCCACTCCTTTTCCTTCATCTGCCCTTAAGTGGCTGTGATTTGAATCTGAAATATGTTTATACATATATTCATTTATATATATAAATATTATTTCTTATATATTTAAGTTCCAAATGCTTTCTTTCATATAGCAAAAAACACCTGACCTCTCTTCTCTCCCTCACTCATTTCTTCCAATTAAGAAGAAGTGATGGTTTAGTTTGGAAATAGAACTAAGCATGTGTAGCCCAGGCCCTCCTAACATTTTTCTCTTGGGAGTGAGCTACCAATAAGGAACATGCACTCTGCTATGCATCTCCAGGCTGTACACTTTACCAAAAGCATGCTGTTGTGAGGCAGGAATATGGTGGTCCAGTAATACTGATGACTAGATGGAAAAGTCTGATTAATTCTCAGATTCATCAGTGGGAAGCTCAAATGCCTACAGATAGAAGCCACACTCTCTAATGCAAGCTTTATCAATAATAAAGATAATGTGCCTGGCTGGTGTGGCTCAGTGGTTGAGCACTGACACATGCACCAAGAGGTCACTGGTGCAATTCCCAGTCAGGGCAGATGCCCAGGTTGTGGGCCAAACCCCAATGTGGGGCATGCAGGAGGCATCTGATTGATGTTCTCTCTCATCAATGTTTCTATCTCTCTCTCCCTCTCCCTTTCTCTCTCTCTAAAAACCAATAAAGGGAAAAATAATAAAGATAATGCTTTCTTATATACCAGCTCTCATGTCTTATTGTTTAATTGGTTCAGAACTTGGGTCAGAAACAAAATTTCTTTTAATTAGGCCTGCTTGAACAGCACTAGTATATATTCAAGTTTTGCTGCTCTGTTCTTAATTATATTTTATTTATTCTTCATGGCTATATGCTGTCATACGCTCTGCGACTCTGGGTTAGCTCTGGGTTGCTCAAAGGTGAAAAAAAATCTCCAATATGTCTTTGTTTCATGTTTTCTGCAAACAACAGGTGTTTTTAATTTGTATGACTGGATGCTGCTGATTGGGTTTCCTATCAAATACAGTGGTTCTCAACCTGTGGGTCATGACCCCTTTGGGCGTCGAATGACCCTTTCACAGGGGTTGCCTAAGACATGACAATAGCAAAATTACACTTATGAAGTAGCAATAAAAATAATTTTATGGTTGGGGGTCACCATAACATGAGGAACTGTATTAAAGTGTCACAGCATTAGGAAGGTTGAGAACCACTGCAATAGAGGCTCTTGAGAGGAAAAATATTTACCTTCCTGATTTTTGAGGTTCTTTCTCATAACTTGTGAATCTGTACTTACTTGATCTGACTCCAGTTTCTCAGAAATTTCGGCTCTAGCTGCTGCCTCTGTATAGGCTTGATAGAAGGTCTTTACTTGGGACTCCACTGTAATGGTCAACACAGCATCATAGACTTCCCAGAGTTTTGGGTTGTTCTTCAGGACCTGGTAGGGGGTATGCTTATAAGGTAAACTGTAGAGCAGGGCATCACAGGGAACGAAGATACAGGTTCCATCAGTCATTTTCAGATCATTAACCCATTCCAAGGGATGTGTCTGAGTCTCTCCCTCAATCAAGGCTGAATACAAACACATGATGATTACTGAAACCAACAAAGCAAGAAGGTTATGGCAGCAATATGTTAGTAAATATAGTACCCAAAACTACAGATTGGAAGAAATAAATAAATGTATTATAACCAATTTATAAATTATTTCTATCTTATGTCTCTAAAATGAGCAAGATTAGAAGCCCAGAAATGAGGCTAGGGTATGCTCAGGGACCATGGATTAGGCATAGGGATAAGAGAGATATGTCTACAGCTGCAGACAGAAACAACAAAAAATATAACAAAGAGAAGGTAGCATAATGAAAAGGCTTTGGAGTCGAAAGACCTAGGTTTATAACCTGACATCCTCAGTTATTAGCTGTACACCCTTGGGTAAATTATTTAACCTTTACCTATCTTATTCACAAAATGGAGATAATAAATATGTGCTTCATGGTGTTGTAGTAATGACTGAAGGAGCAATGCATATAATGGTCTTAGCACATACCACTCAATAAATAGTAGCTATTATTATACCTAAGATAAGAAGGCTAAAAGGAGAGGATGGGAGATATTTCAATAGCTACTGTTGCTGTTTATTTCCAAACTCCTAAGTACATTCCAATAGATTTTGACCAACTGTTCCCGCCCTTACCAAGGCATTATAGACAATTAATTACACTCACTTATAAATGCTACAAAAAATTATGGGTGAGTTCAAGTTTTAAAAATCTAACTTCCATATAATTGGAATTACTTTGCACTCAGTTTAATTCTTCCTAGACTTATGAATCTATGTTGTTTAGCAAGGCTATGCTAGAATAGAGTGGATTAGAAGAAGCCGCGACTGAAGAATGGCAACTAGATCATGAGACTGATAGTTGTATATCCAATTTTGCCCTTGGTATGCTGAATGATTTCAGTATAAGCCCACATGTACTTCATTGTTCACGTCTTTAAAATGTAGTCTCCAATGCATTTCACAGGTCCATTCAGTAGTGTAATTAGATAATGCCTGGCAAATATTCTGAACTGCTTAAAGAGGAGAAAAGGTCCTGTTGCCATTGGTAAATATTAATTATATATGCTTAAATGAGAACCTTTAATCTCAGAAAGTTACTATGTTTAATTAATTTCAGTGACTGGTCTTTGGCATTTACACATTGCTTCATCTATTTTCCAAAACCTTTGCACTTTTTTAAAATCTCTTTTTGTTACAGATGTTTCTCTTTTTTCCCCATTGACAACCTCCTCCACATCCCTCCTGCCCCATCCCCAGCTTTGTTGCCCGTGTCCATTGGTTATGCATACATATATATAAGTTCTGTGGTTTATCTCTCCCCCCGCCAATACACCCTCTTCTGAGGTTTGTCAGACTGTACCCTACCACTATGTCTCTGGGTTAATTTTGTTCATTAGTTTGTTTAGTTCATTATATTCCACAAATAAGTGAGATCATGTGATATTTGTCTTTCTCTGCTTGGCTAGTTTTGCTTAGCATAACACTCTCCATGTCCTCCCACGTCATCTCAAAGGATAAGAGATCTTTCTTTCTTAGAGCTGCATAGAATTACATTCTGTACATGTACCACAGCTTTTTATCCACTAACCTACTGATGGACACTTGGGTTGTTTCCAGATCTAAGATATTCTAAATAGTGCTGCTATGAACATAGGGGTACATATATTCTTTCTGATTGCTGTTTCAGGCTCTGTAGGGTATATTCCTAGAAGTAAGACTCCTGTCTCAAATGGCACTACAATTTTTAACATTTTAAAAAATTAATTAATGTATTTTTGATACAGATATTTCTTCCTTTTCCCCCACTGATTCCCCCCTACCTCTCCTTCCCTGCCCTCTCCCCAGCTTTGTTGTCCATGTCCATTGTTCATGCATACATGCGTATAAGTTCTGTGGTTTATCTCTCCCCCACCACCCCCTCTTCTGGGGATTGTCAGTCTGTACCCCACTTCCACATCACTGGGAGTAACCCATTCCTCAGACTGTTATGTTCATTATATTCCACAAATAAGTGAGATCATATGATACTTGTCTTTCTCTGTTTGTCTAGTTTCACTTAGGATAATACTTTCCAGGACCCTCCATGTTGTCTCAAAGGATAAGAGATCTTTCTTTCTTACAACTGCAGAGTACACCATTGCGTATATGTACCACAGTGTTTTTATCCATTTGTCTACTGATGGACATTTCGGCTGTTTCCACATCTTAGCTATTGAAAATAGTGCTGCTATGATCAGGGGGAACATATATTCTTTCTGATTGGTGTTACAGGCTTCCTAGGGTATATTCCTAGAAGTGGAATCACTGGCTCAAATAGAAGTTCAATTTTTAATTTTTTGAGGTAACACCATACTGTTTTCCATAGTGGCTGCACAAGTCTGCATTCCCACCAGCAGTGGACTAGAGTCCCTTTTCTCCACACCCTCACCAACACTTGTTGTTTGACGATTTGTTGATGGTGGCCATTCTAATAGGTGTGAGGTGATACTTATAGTTGTTTTAATTTTCATCTCTCTGATGATTATTGATGTTGAGCATTTCTTCATATATCCCTTAGCCATTTGTATGTCCTGTTTGAAGAGGTGTCTATTTAGATACTCTGCCCATTTTTAATTGGGTTCTTTGTCTTCCTTTTATTGAGTTGTATGAGCACTCTATATATATTGGAAATTAACCCCTTATCTGATGTATTGTTGGCAATTATGCTCTACCATACAGTGGGTTGCCTTTCGATTTTGATGATTGTATCTTTTGCTGTGCAAAAACATTTGAGTTTGATGTAGTCCCATGTATTCATTTTCTCCTTTGTTTCTGTTGCCTTAGGTGATGTATCAGTGAAAATTCTGCTGCGCATGATGTCTGAAATTTTGTTGCCTATATTTTATTGTAGGATTTTCACAGATTCACGAGTTACATTTAAGTCTTTAGTCCATTTTGAGTTTATTTTTGTGTGCGGTGTAAGTTGATGGTCTAGTTTCATTTTTTGTGTGTGTAGCTGTTCAATTTTCCGAACACCATTTATATAAGAGGCTGTCTTGACTCCACTGTATGCTCTTGCCACCTTTGTCAAATATTAAATGAGCATATTGCCTTGGGTCCATTTCTGGGTTCTCTGTTCTGTTCCACTGGTCTACATGCCTGTTCTTGTGCCAGTACCAGGCTGTTTTGATTACAGTGGCTTTGTAGTATAACCTGAAATCTGGTAATGTGATCCCTACAACTTTGTTCTTCTTTTTCAAGATTGCTGTGGCTATTAGGGTTTTTTTTTTTTTTTTTTTTGGTTCCATATGAACTTTTGAAGTATTAGTTCTAGTTCTGTGAAGTATGTCATTGGTATTTTGATGGGGATTGCATTGAATCTAAAGATTACTTTGGGTAGTATGGACATTTTAATGACGTTAATTATTCCAATCCATGAATAAGTTATGTGATTCCACTTTTTGATATCTTCCTCTATTTCTTTATTCAATGACCTGTAGTTTTCTGTGAATAGGTCCTTTATTTTTTGGTTAAGTGTATTCCTAGGTATGTTAATTTTTTTCCCACGATGGTAATGGGATTGTTTTCTTAGTTTCTCTTTCTGTAAGTTCATCATTGATGTATAAGAATGACATCAATTTCTTGATGTTAATTTTGTATCCTGCTACTTTGCCAAATTCATTTATTAAGTCTAGTAAATTTTTGATGGAGTCTTTGGGATTTTCTACGTATAGTATCATGTCATCTGTGAATAATGACAGTTAAACTTCCTCCCTTCTAATTTAGATCCCTTTAATTTCTTCTTCCTGTCTCATTGCTGTAGCCAAGACATCCAGTACTATGTTAAATAAGAATGGTGAAAGTGGGCATCCTTGTCTTTTTACTATTCTTAAAGGGAAATGATTTTAGTTTTTGCCCATTGAGTATGATGTTGACTGTAGGTCTTTCATATATAGCCTTTGTTATGTCACAATATGATCTCTCTATTCCCAGAATGCTGAGTGTGTTCATCAGAAATGGGTGCTGGATTTTGTCGAATGCTTTTTCAGCATCAATTGATATGATCATATAATTTTTATCTTTCATTTTGTTTATGTAGTGTATCACATTTATTAATTTGTGAATATTTTACCACCCTTGCATTCCTGGGATGAATCCCACTTGGTCATGTTGAATAATTTTTTTGATGTATTGCGAGATTCGGTTTGCTTGTATTTTGTTCAGGATTTTGGTATCTATGTTCATCAAGGATATTGGTCTGTAGTTTTCTTTCTTTGTAGTTTCTTTTTCTGGTTTTGGAATTAGAATTATGTTGGCCTCATAAAATGAGCTTGGAAGTCCTCCTTCTTCTTCAATTTCTTGAAATAGTTTGAGGAGAATGAGTATTAGTTCTTTGAATGTTTGGTAAAATTCCTTTGTGAAGCCATCTGGGCCTGGGAGAGCCTTTGTTTGCTGGGAGAACCTTGATAACATCTTCATTTTCTTCTGTTGTTATTGGTCTGTTCAAGTTTTCTATCTTTTCCTGATCTAGTTTTGGGAGACTATGTGTTTCTAGAAATTTGTCCATTTCACTTAGATTGTTGAATTTGTTGCCATATAATTGTTCATAGTAGTTGTTAACGATCTTTTGTATTTCTGTGGTGTCAGTTGTTACTTCTCCTCTTTCATTTCTAATTTTATGTATTTGGGTTCTCTCTGTTTTTTGGTGAGTCTAGCTAAGGGACCATCAATGCTGTTTATCTTTTCAAAGAACCAGCTCTTTGTTTTATTGATCCTTTGAATTGTTTTTTTTTTTTTTTTTTTTTTTTTTTTGGTCTCCTTGTCATTTATTTTTGCTTGACCTTTACTATTTCCTTCCTTCTACTTGCTCTGGGATTTTCTTTTTTTTTTTTTTATCCTCACCCGAGGACATTTTTCCATGTTTTGTACAGATAGAGTGGGAGGGAGAGAGAGAGAGAGAGAAACATCGATGTGAAAGGGACACATCGACTGGCTGCCACCCGCACGACCAACCAGGGCCGGGGACAAACTGCAACCGAGGTACATGCCCTTA